GCTAGCTCAGCATCATCTTAAATACACAACATGGGAACAATCAACTGATAATCCAAGAATTTTTTTAATTTTGGGGTTATTTTGTGGAGGAATTGAAAACCAGTTGGGCTAATACAGATCTGGATGCTAACAGGCTCATTGATGCATGGGCACAAACCACTGCATGTCCGCACACAAATCGATCACTCTGGCCTCGCGGAAACACACCTCTTCATTAAGCTCGGACTCACCGTACCGTGGAGCGGGCAGGAAATTAAACCCTCCCCTAGCAACGATCGTGTTGCTTTGGTATTTCCTGCGATGCTCCCTTGAATCTTCGGTTTGACCAGATAGGTAGATATCTCGCGATGCTGCGGTGACTTTTTGAAGAATGTCACCAAAGTAAGTGCCAGATTTGTCAAGTGCAAACTGCGCAAACAGCAATTGCCGCGTTGACTCAGTGATTCTTTCGCGTGTCCCTCTCTTTCCTGATGAAGCCCGACGTGTTTTTCGTCTTTTTAAGAAGTGCATCAAGTACTGAGGCAGTTTGCGTGAATGCGTTTGAAGAGCGCCGCATTTCGCTGTGTCATGTCGTAAACACAGCACTTTGTAGCAGTTTACCCGCAAAGTTTACTTCTGTGTTTGACAGCAGTAAGTGCCCCTATGGAAATCACATTGATTTATAACATTCAGGGTTTTCCATCTATCATTAGTACTTGAAGTGGAGTACAGGTTAAGAATTCATTGCTCTGCAAACAAGAAAATTAGTTCAAAGTTCTCTTTCTGTTTATCCAGCCGTGCCTTACTGTAAGATAAAAAAAAAAAGTACTGAGGAGAAATAGAGACAGGAAGGCCTTGCAATAAGTAATAAATGCATCAGTTGCAGACATCTTGACCTAAATTAAATATTGGTCTTGAAGATGTAAGTGTGGGAGTGTGGCCCAGTGGTTAGGGTTTGTGACTCATGATCAGAGGGTCAGGGGTTCATTTGAGCTGCTGGTCATATGTTGTGTCCTTGGGCAAGCCACTTCACTTGCCTCTCTCCACCCAGGAGTATAAATGGGTACCGGCATTAGCTGGGGAGTAGCCTGTGATGGACTGGTATCCCATCCAGGGGGAATAGAAATATTCTCAGTTGTTTCATGTTACTGAATCCAAAGATAAATGCTGGCCTGATATGATGGGCCATCTTGGCTCATGACAGACTTTGCTTTTTTTCACTTGAAGATGAAAAAGTGATGTTTTTCAATTGGTGTCATTTTTAACCTGTAAAGTCAAAATGCTGCAACCATTTGGCTAAAAAAAAATCATCGTTCTAGTTTTATAATTTACTACAATACAGGAGTCTGTTCATGTCACATGACGGGAAGTGACCAATCGCTGCCGTCTGCCTTGACAATAGACTTGATGACAAGTCGTTAGTCGTTTTTTGTCTGTGAACTCCAGTCGAACTCCATCGGCGCGGCTGATATAAGACTAGTACGTGTATGTATCATACGACATATCTAACGACATATCTAACGACTTGACGGATACATTCTTGGAACGATATATATGCGTGCAGCGCAATACATATGCAGTGAATCTATGTGGTGAGATCCAATGGCGCACAGCAATGCAAATGAGGACTCGTTCATTCCGTTACATGGGGAGTTCTTCTCAATACGTCGGGACATGTTTGCAGATCGGGCGACGTTTTAACGGCCAAATCCCTCAGCGTGGTCAATTTTGTATAGAAATAAAATGTATCATTGTGATATACTTGATTTATTTGAGTCGTGTATGCCCTAAAATGAATTTTGAAATGTTACACAACACAAAGCACAGACCCTCGAAGTAATGAGAATGATCTCCCGTGGTGGCCTAGAATACATGCTGGACTCTGAACCAATCAGAGTGCTCGCATAGAATTCACTAGCGATTCAAAACACTCCCATATGTTGTGTACAAAATAGAAAACAATTTCGCCAAGTCGGTTATTGAACATCAATAGTCAGCATCATTTGGTCTGGGAACCAGGCTACGCCACTGATCTCTACACTAACGTGTATACATGTAGATCGGTGGGCTACACGCTTTGCAGTGATATTTTGCGTATGTGGAACCAGTAACCGGTACCGTACATACGTGAAGAATTAATAACCGACTTGGCACCAAGTCTACCTTGACATACACACGCCACCAGATTCTCATTTTCAGTCAAATTACCAAATGCTAAAAACAGAATAAATGAAATAAAAGTACCTGTACTTCACCTGATTCTGGAGAAGTTTCTACTAATGTTAGCAATCAGTTAATCTCAACTGCACAAAGTTAATCCGTCTTCTTACATCATCATTGTACTATCCACTCTTTGTCGAGAGAGGAAAGATCCAGTAGTGCCGATCAGCCAGGCTGTATTCCCTTCACTCAGTTTCTGCTAACATAACAGTGCATCCCCTAGATCTTACTGGATGGCAAAGTAAAGTGCCCACACCATTTATCTTCCTTGTGTGATATACAAGCAGTGTTGCATCCCCGCAACATCCAAATGGATCATCTCAACCAAGACTGGCAGATTGAGTGCTGTACTGCTGTGGACCATTCCAATGGTTTTGAGGGAATTTTTTGGGACTTCTGTTAATGAGATGGGACAATGATAGTAAAGTCACAATTTGACATGTTTCAGATTCATCTTTTGGTTAACGATAAATTGGTGAATGGGCGCTCCATTCCCAGAATGATGTGCGTGTGTGTCGAGGTTTCCTGTAACCTTACAGTGCTGTGGAGCAGTAGCTATGTGAGATGTCGTTTATGGTTTGTCAAAGATTCACATCCCTTGTCAGCTCATGATCCTGTCCATCAGACCATAAAAATGGTGATTAATCACTGTTAAGGCAGGGTTGTCAAATCAAACATGGAATAATGTTGAAGGGTTTCTTTGGATTTTTTGTTGTTGTCCAGCCATGTTTGTGAGAGATGTCATGTCAGACAGTTTTGGAGACTGCAACATTTGATCTATGCTGATTGATTGCTTTACTGCATAGCCAACGGATGCAACATAGTACATGTTCAATTCCTGCTTTCGTTCATTTTCTTTTAAGACAAAAGACACATCCTTCAATTGCGTGCATGTGTTCTTTTATCTCATAACTCCCACATCTCAGCAACCCTAAGTTGAACCCCCGGTACATGTTTACAGCGCTGTACGCTAATTCTGCAAGCAAATGTAACATGCCTGACCTTTCATGGCAAGATCGAAGCCGGATTTTCGGCAAGAATCTTACGGTAATCTGATACCCAAGTGGGATTTTTTTCAGAAATTTTTGTACACTGGTTCCAAAAGTAACAGAAAACATTGGCCATATATACTGGTACACATGTTAAATGGCATCAAGAAATGTCAAATTCGCTATTAAACAAAAATCTAAAGTTAACAAGGAGAGAATTTGATGATTTTTCAAAATAAAGTGACCAAAAAAAAATTCTAACCTGCATGATTCAGAACAATTTTTGGCAAAAGTGAGAGATGATCTTTCTTAGTAAAGTTTGTGTGCACATTAATTTAACCCTCCCTCTCTGGCTGGCAATTTCAACAAGGCCAGCCCAGCAGTCAAAATAAGTCAAGTGACTGTTTTTTTAACAGTTGAGTGCTCCCTGCCTTCATAAAGCAGGATTGACTGGCTGTGATTGTTATGAAACCTGATATAGCTATGCTTTGACTGTAGGTGATTGATAAGCCAGCTGTGCCTACCAGTCACCTGCTTTTGTCTGTTGATGAAATTTGACTTATTGTGTCTATTGGAATATGATCTGACTGTTGGTGACTGGCCTGTGTAAAAGGCACGGGGGACAAGATTTACCTTTGATTGTCTGTGACTGATAAAACAAAAACAGGGTTGAAGGTTTGACGATGATGTATGCTGATTCAGTTTGTGTATGCATTTTTGTCAGACTCTTCTCATTTGATTTGTAGACAATTTCCTGTCCCTCCCATTATCCTTTGTTTTGTGCCCTCACTGTAAACCCACACAGATTGTCCTTAACCACTGAACTCACAATTTAATAACTTCCAGAAATAATTAATCACTCGTGCAAAAGGGTAATTGCAGAAAACGTCAATACGGATGATTGAACTGCTGCATATTTTTAGCTTCTCCCGACGTAGAATCAATTCCTTAATATTTGTCCGAAGAGGGTGTTTATTTTTTCAAGTCCGTTGTATAGATTTTGGAGTGGTATCGTCAGCATTTGTTAAAACGGGGAGAATTGATCGCATTTATGATAACATTTGTATTTAGGACCGATCTTTGTTCAGTGTTTATACGCTGTCTTTGGTGACTGTGCTAAGGCAGGGAGTAATATTGCATTTTTCACAGTGTGAAAATTAATTTTTTGGGGGGCTATTTTACGGATATTGCCGTTTGATTTATTGAGCAAAGCGGTCTAAACTCGGTAGGATTGAAGATTGATTTTCCACAAACACAAATTTTAAGTGGAATTTCTGGCGAATGACTCAAGTGATAGAAATGTCATGTTTATCCAGCAGTTTGTAAAGTTGTACATGTTAGTGTCCTCCTGAATGAAGGGTTAAATTCCTCCCGGATTTCTTCGGGCTTCATAACTGGAATTTTTGGGACAGGTGTTGTTTTTTTTTAAATATTTTGTAGAATTTTGTGATTACAGAACTCAGTGCATAAATTAAACACGATTCTGTCTGGGTAGGATAATATATCTTGACTTCAAAAGGTTTAAAAGTTACTCAAGAAGTTTGAAGATTTACATACTGCCCCTGAAGATTAGCGTGTGAAGATTTTACATAATTCTCCAAAATTAGGAATTATTGCAAGTCAGGGGAGATGATCTACATGTACTTGTACATTTGTTATAATTTGTCATGCTTTGTTGGTAACCTAAATAGCACCCTCTATAGTAATGGAGTCCATCATCAACAATCTTTAGATTTCACATTATGCATTGCCCAAGCTATAAACCCAGTGAATGCTCATTCTGTTTGCATGGTTTCTGTTGTCTCATTACAGAATTCACCGGCCGAGCAGGTCATTCTTGCCGACATCACCAGGACGTTCACAGCTCATGAGAAGTTTCAGAATGAGAGCGAAGGAGGTCAGGATGCTATGTACAAAATTAGTAAGGTCAGTACAAACTGTTAGAAAAATATTTTAAAAAGTAGTTATTAAATGTTGAAAAGTTTTTATAAATTTTGGCGTTGCTGTCAATAAAGTCCTGTAGAAGTGTTGCAGATATCCAAAGAAACCGACCCAAAATTGTGTAATATTTATTTATCCATAGGTTCGTATCGGCCATCCAAGCTCACAAAATAGAGTCGTCCTTTCTAATGGGGCTACTGCAAACTTAACTTGGATTACTAACTTCTTTATGCCAACCCTAAAATCTCACCATTAGTAGTAGAGAACATCTGGTGAAATTGTCTGGCCTCACAGTCATAGAGAAGAATATTGAATATCAGGTTTCATTTTAGACTTCTTTAAGACAGCAGTAATAAAACTGTTGATAAAATTGACTTGTGGATGAAAGGCCTAAAAAACAAATCAAAGTGTTTGTCACGGGCGGTACCTGCAGGAATTCCAGACAGTGTCAAAATGCCTGTGGATGGAAAGACATTGTCGGTCCCATTTTATACTTCACGCTTGACCTGTTTCTATTTAGGATTTTCAAATTGGGAATGATTACCGGCGCATTTTAAATTCATGGGAATGTGCGGTGAGGCTTGGGAATAAGGGCTGTTGGAATGGGGTGGGTACGTGTTTGGACTTAAACACGCGCTCGTTAAAATTAGCGTAGCAATCACTCGCCGAAAGTCCAGTTTAATGGGCGTCAGTTGGACAACCCATATGCACAGAGTGGAAAGGTCAGTTAGAGTTTGATTGGAATTGTGGCGATGCTACTTTGGGGTATTGGAATGTCGTCATTGTAGGTTTTCCTGGATGCCCAACAAATTGACAGTTGTTGAAGGATGAAGGGGTCATTTTTTTTGCATTTGTTACAAAAGTACTGTCCAAGTAGCTGTAATGTATAAGGACATCTTACTTTCTTGTTTTTGTGAATAGTTTTGTTAGAAGACATTGCAAATTAAAATTTTGATGAATTAGCACTTGTTAAAGAAAACTTGAACCACAATTTTTGCATCGTCTGGCGTGAAATATACATGTATCGTGCATTTCGGTAGACAAATCTTGAAAGCCACCAGTTTATCCTTGTCACATTGAGGTGTCGTAATTAATTTATCTACAAATTTGAAGTAAGCAAGCCCGACTTTACAGTGCAAACTTAATCACTTGATTTGGTCACAGCTAGCTTTTAACAACTTGACACTCAACATGTGCGTGACAAATTTCAATATGAATTCTTGTCATTTGCTGTGTTTTGCTACAAATTTGGTTCTGAAATTTGCCCAACCTTTCTGCAATTCCGTGTTTTATATAAGAAATCAAGTTTTATGAAACATCTTCGGGAAGAAGTTAGTGATAGTTTTGCATTCTAACCTTTCATTCAGAAATCGCTATCGGCGGTTAACCTCTCAATTTGGATCTGTAGAGCAGCTAACGTAGTTACAACAGCACTCCAAGGAATTGCACTTAAACAAATATTCATAGCTTCTCAAATCTGATGTAATTTGGTGATAGCTGTTCCACTGGTTTATATTTAATAACGTCATCGGAGGATGCGGGAACGCAAGGATCCGATTATTCAGAATGCACCAGAAATCTGTCATATTTTTCCAGGAGTGCCCTGACATTTGTCTTGGGCTGGCTTGGGAAAAAAATGAGAAAAGAAATCAACAGATAAGAAATCGCTGCGGTTTGTTTCTCAACAAAACTGACGATTGAAGCCACTTGAGAAACCGACTTGTGATTGATGTCTGTTTACCTGAAAGTGACCAGTGGATTTGAACTCTGACCTGACCTTATAATGGAGGTCATTCTTAAGTAGGTAAAAGGCCAATGAGTGTGAAACCTACATGTAGTGTGGGAAACTTGGTTTTGTCTTAAATTTGATTGATATGCAAGTACCGGTTATGTGATGCAAATTTTGTGTGTCTTTGTGGTTTGTAATATAAAACCAAAAACATTTAACAGCACATTTTTTGAACTCCCTCATCTCTGGCAAGGCTGTCTTTTCTGATGTGCCTTTAGTATTTTTTTTTACTCCAAGTAAGGTTTTGTCCTTTTATTAGGTCTTAAATATGTATTGCGATAACCAGCTCAAGGGAACATGAGGTGTTAAATACAGGGATGTAGTCGAGTCCATCACAAGTCCAGTCACAAGTAACAGTGGATGAACAATAACAAAGGAATGTCTCAGTCATAGCTCATTTGAATAGCTTGTGGGTTGAATTGGGACTGGAGGACTTGTGATGGACTTGCAGGGACTTGTGATGATATTGACGACATCCCTGGTGTGAATGTAATTCCATTTGCTGTCATTTCAGGCCTATTCAGTGTACGATTCGGAAGTTGGCTACTGCCAAGGGTTGTCCTTTCTTGCCGCTGTTCTCTGGTTACATGTAAGTTGGTCCTCATCTTCATCCACTGCCCACCCTTTGCAGAATTCCGCCTCTCTGAATTACTGAATTAAGCACACTTTCTTGGTCTGACAACATGTGAACGAATATGCCAAGTTGTGCTTGAGGTTACATGGAAATGCTTCCTTCAACGCACGCCCGACAAATTTTCTTAAGACAAGTTTTAAATTGATTGATATGAGACAAATTTGATCTCTGGCAGTAGCTGAGACGAATTCAATCTGCATTGACGAATATTCTTGAACACATAGTTAAATAGGTTAACCTAACTTTGAAATTCAATGATAAATGACTAAAATAATTTTGCTAAAAGCAATGATTTTCCTCGCGGACAAATTTTGGATGTTAAAATTGGTGAATTGGAATGAAATATGTTTTAAAATAGCAGGGAAAACATATTTCATTGATTGATTACTAACAAGGTGCGAAAATTCCAGTTGCCCATCCAAGCATGTATGAAGAGGGCAATATCACAGAAATGCACTTAGCGCAGAAAATATTTGCTTAGTAGAAGCAGTTAACCTTTTGTTGTTGGGACTTTGCAGATGCCGGAGGAGCAAGCTTTTGCCGTGCTGACTAAGACCATGTATGACTACCATCTCAGAGACCTCTTCATGAACAGCTTCGTGGAGTTACACGTCAAGTTCTATCAGCTGGAACGACTGATGGAGGTCAGAGGTCAATTAAAGAGCCATTCACATATAAGGCTTTGGCTTGCAATCACATACGTACCTATGGAAGCCGCTGAAGTGGCTTTCCATAGATGTATGTGTAAATGCTGGTCATAGTCATGTAATTCAGATGCGGCTTAAGCTGACATTGAAGTTAAGAGCTCCCTGCCTACATCAAGCAGGATTGACTGGCTGTGATTGTTATGCTATGCTTTGACTGTAGGTGATAGATAAGCCAGCTGTGCCTACCAGTCGCCTGCTTTTGTCTTTTGATGGAATTTGACTGCCACAGTGCCCGTTGAAGTATGATCTGACTGTTGGTGACTAGCCTGTGTAAAAGGCATGGCAGGGAACAGGATTGAATTTCTGACTGTCTGTGACTGATCAAACAAAATGAGGGTTAAAGAAATTCAATCTTGCATAGTTTCTATGATTCTTCGAGTCTTTTCATGATTGGTTGATGAATCAATTGAATTTTTTTGGTATCTTTTTTACAGGATAACATCCCGGACCTATTCTCCCACTTTGTACATATCGGTATTGAGGCTCACATGTACGCATCCCAGTGGTTCCTGACGCTATACACAGCACGCTTCCCACTCTACACAGTGTTCCATATCATGGATCTCTTCCTGATGGAGGTAAGCACAAACAAACAAACAGTCAGAAGGACAAACAGGCAAACCTCTGCTTTGTCTCCTACGTTGCCTTCGGACTGCAGCTTTCTGGTCCCAAACTTGACGAACTCCTGTTTAATTTTGTTTCATTCACCGCTTTTGCTACGTCAAGTTCTGTCACACAGTTCTGATGTCTTAAATGCTTGATTTGAATATTGTACGTATACATGGCATTTATGTGGAGCTGAAAATGTAACCAATGCTGGAAACAATACCAAACTTTTGGAAAATGGCAATTTTTAACAGGTCTGTAAAGTGGAGTGATTTTTTACCATTTAATAGCCTCATGACTTGCTTTGCACTTTAACCCATTAACACTTGTACTACATTGTATTACATTGTGTTTATTACTGAAGAATCAATAAAACCATAAAATATCTGGTGTTACATTGACTAAAAGGAACAGTCATACTCAACTTGTAACAACCAGTTTACTTGTATTAACAAAATAATTTAGTCTGATTTCCAAGCTCAGTTTTCAACACATTATGATTTTGATAGTGTGCCAATGCCAAAGCAAACAAATGTTAGCGCGGAATAAAAAAAAATCTCCATTTTACTGACAATTGTAGTTAGTTGTTCGCTGAGAGCAGTACTTCCAGAACTCGGTTTTGTACCATCTGTCTTGTGTATCACAAATACTAGCAGTAGCACATTTGATGTCATTCACCGGAAACTCCCAGGGGAAATATTTCACTATAGAAACGGCCGAGACTCTGGTGTAGCGTTACCTACTTGAAGGCGATTGAGAGGAAACACAATACAGAAGAATACGGATGATGTTGAAACAGATTCATCTTGGGCTTTTTTCGGTGGCGAACGATTCCAATTTTTTTGTTTGGCCAGGCTTAAATTGGATTTTCTGGATTGGAAAATTTTGCAGCCATATGTGGGTCGTGGAGGAGATGAATTGGAGCTTGAAGGAAGATTTCTCGTCCCCCCCCCCCCCCCCCCCTGAAAAATAGGGGAAAAAGGAAAAAAATAAGAAAAGGGGTTGCCTGTTTTGATATGCGTGCCAAGATGAATGACACTATCATGATATCACTAACCCACATGTTGTTCATGATGAGGATGACCCAAGCTGAATATCACGTCATCTAAGCCCAACTAGATTCTCTGCAGTTAATATGATTACACTCCCAGGCAAACCTCACACAATGGCAGCCGGCTTTATCGAATTAACCGCCCAAAACCTGCCGCCGGCCAAACACGATAAGTGAATTACCAAACACAGTCCATTCTTGGTTTTCACTTGATTCAACAAATGACTAGAACTGAGTTTAAAGGATTTCCATCAGGAGAGCAAAATTGGTCAAACCCTGGCATGCCGGAAGGCAAGTGATAAAAAGTGCAGTATCAGTTGTGTGTACAAAGTAAACAAATGAATCTTTTAGTTATTTTAGTAAAATAACTAAGTGAGTTTATCAGAATCCAAGATGATCATCCTTAGCCCTGTTTTGACAAGCTTGGGACAGATTGGTTTTCTGTTAGAGTTTAGAATTGTTATGCCTGTCCCTTTTTTTTGTTTTTTTTGTCTGTTGTACTTTCCGTTCATATCTTACTTCTATGTTGTTTTTAACAGGGAATGCCCATAGTATTCAACATAGCCATTGCTCTGCTCAAGGTAAGATTTTAGAAGAACCTGCAAAACATTCTTGTACTTTTTTCTCCTTAAAAAATCTTGGTTGTTAGTAGGTTTTTAATAAAAAAAAAATAATAATCTTCGTCATCCGCTGAAGTTTTGAATGAGGTGTTGGTAATTGTTTTTCATAAAAATAAATATTTTTGTAAGTGTGATATCTCATGAATTGAGAAGAAATTTAAACTTTCTTTTTTTAGGGGGAGCAAACTTGCATGTCAGATAATACTTTTCAAAGTGATATTTGCCACTCAGTTTTTTTCCCAAACCACAAAGGACGTTTAATTTCCAAGCACTGTTGTCCATTTTTCTCTAATCCAATTCACGCTGGCCATTGTAGTAGAGGAAATACGTGTCTTCCTGTACGATGTATAAATACACCTATGAGTAAGTCTCAAGTGATTTCATTAAGACCAAAATCTCTCAAGGATAGGGGGATCCCACTATGTAACAGTGAAACCTGTGAGAAGGTGGTGTTCTTTAAGCAACAAGAAAATTTGTACTCTGTTGGATAAATTCTGCAGTAAATGATTCCTTTGCTTTTAGTAGATGGTGAGTCGATAAAGTATTCTATATTTTGATGAAAATTTTGTTTGAAATGTGTGGTCTAAATCATGGTTACAAGTTTCACTTCATGTTTGTCTTCGTATTGATTGCTGATTCTTTTCAGTCTTGATTTTACATGTAATAGTAAAATGGTCTACATTTATTGGTTGAACGTTCACAGTCTTCAATTGCGCATGCGCAATACTTCCAAGGAGTCGGTATTGCAGAGAGTCCTAAATTCACACTACACCAGCACTGTTTTGTTCACACCATATAAGGAGATTTTTAGTACCACTCGCGAGAGGCACATACCATAACATTTATAATTTTTGACTTGTTTGGACTTTTTGACGAAAAGATATTTATGAATGGGAATAAATATGTGCTTAGCCGGTTTAAACAAATATGTTTAAAAGTGGCTTGGGGCCTGAAGTTTAGAAATATTGGGTTAAGTATTTTTTTGAATCAATGATGTTGTTGGTTTTTCTCCCTAGGCTGCTAAGAAGGAACTCCTTGGCCAAGACTTTGAGGGTGTCTTGAAGTACTTCCGTGTCACTCTCCCCAAGCGATATCGCACTGAAGAAAGTGCACAGGAGCTCATGCAGTCAGCACTCAGTACTAAGGTAAGGGGCGGTACTACAGGTCCTGAGAGAGGGGGGTGGATTATTTCAACTTCTTACGTTTCAGACTGTGGCCCAATTCAAATATTTCTGTCCATTGTGAATTATCCAAATTTTTGTCAGAGTTGACGGCACTATGTTTGAATGATTTTCCCTTTGTCTTGATTGCAGATCAGTAATCGTAAGTTGAAGAAGTACGAGAAGGAATTCTACGCGATGAGGGAGGACGAGGATAGAGAAGACCCACTGGAGAGGATTGAGGTAAAGCTCTACTGTTTCTTGAAGTTGATAGTTCACAGATAAAGTGTCTTGAGTATTGTATTTATAGCTAATGTTTTGGTATCCACTAACAGCGAGAGAACAAGCAGTTGATGCACGCCAACATCCGCTTGGAGCAGGAGAATGATGAACTAGCCAGGGAGTTGATAGTCCACAGACTGGCGATGGAGAAACAACTTGATAAGGTACATTTAGATCTTTCCTAGCTGAGAACTTGGCCAGTGATTTAAATTCAGAGCGTAATCACCGGATTCGTGTGTAGTTAGGTCGTAGTATTGTGTCCAAATCTTTCCTGTGCTTACTTCATCTGCTCAACAGCTACTTGAAATCAGCAAGACAAGCTTCAACAAAGTCTGACATGCTCACACTCACACATGCCACACACGTCTTGTTCATGGTGCGTTAGATGCACTTGTTGCCTGCTTTGGAAGGGGCTTAGTCAAATCCGGGCAGGATTTGATTACTACGGGAAAAGAAAAATTGTTGTTGAAGAGTTGGAGCTTTAGATTCTGATGGCATTTGTGTTTATGTAATAGGAGAGGGATCGAGCTGATGAGCTTGACCGGGACCTAAAGGCCATCAAGCTGCAACTACTAGACACGGAAGAAGAGAATAAACATCTTGAATCAGAAACTACTCAGGTAAGATACAAGCAAAGGAGGAGTCAGTCACAAGTCATTACAAGTCATCACAAGCCCTCAAAAGTTAAGTCAGTCACAAGTCCGTCAAGTCAATTAAAAGTCCTCACAAGTCTATCAAAAGTCAATCCCAAGTCAGATCGCAAGTCGAATAGAGAATAGTCACAAGTTAATCATAAGTCCCCTAGTTGTACATGTAAGTGAAGTTAGATGCTATTCAAACAACAGAACGTTTCTTAAGCCTTTGTCAATCCCCAGTTTCCTGTACTCGTGGCTTGACTTGTGATTGACTTCTGATTGAACTTTGATTAACTTGTGATTCAATTGACCTTGCAAACTTGAACCATTGGTACAAAATCTCTGCGTATTAACAAATAATCGACTGGTCAGTTTCTTACAATGTTATTGAATCCTAGTTGATCCTAGAAAGTTTGTTTTCCACTTGCCTTAGATCAAAGAAATGTACCGGACGGGAATGGAAAAGTCGGAATCAGACTCCAAACGGAACGCCACCATCATTGCCGACTACAAGCAGATCTGCTCCCAGCTGAGTGAACGACTAGAGAAACAGCAGACGGCGGCCAGGGAAGACATGAGCAGGTTACGGGTAAGATATCATGACTGTAGATAGTTCAAATGCTCTCCAAGATCTTGTTGCTTAAAATATTAAGGTGTTAGAGATTGTCCTACAATTTTTAATAAAGCATCTGAACAACTCTGTTTCTTGTGTCCACAGTGCTGACTGAAAATCCCACTACTTTGGTTTTGGGCATCAGTGCAGGCCTCCTGACTTTCATTAGATAAAATATGTCAGTTTATTTCCCATAATATCTTCAAAAAGTAAAAGCATGTTTTCCCCTTGTTTTTTTGTGGTTATAGCGGAAGTTGCAAACATGCGAGCAGTGTGCCAATCTCATCGACGAAGACGGTAAACTCAACCAATCAGCCGCTCTGATCCAACCAAGTGAAGAGGATGAACCAGAACCAGAATTAGCTGCTGCTGAACAACAGGTAAGAGTGTAGAATCCATAGGTTTTAGGGAGGGGTGGGCGTGGTCAGGGTGGGGTACTCATAATGTACGTGATCAGGCACACTTACACCTCTAGTATTGTCATTGTGATTGTCATTGTGTTTTTGACATTGTCATCGTCATCATGTTGTTGTCATATTCATTGTGTTTTGGTTGTTAACATGTTTTTGACATTTGTTGTGTCCGTTTTGCCAGATCCGAGAGTTAGAGCTAGAGTTAGCTCAGACCAAGCTTCAGCTGGTGGAGTCTCAGTGTTTAGTGCAGGACTTGGAACATAAGCTCAATTCTTCCATGACGGAGCTGCACGCCTCGCGCAATAACAGCTGGCTACAGAAAACATTCTCATCACTCAAAGACGCTACCACAGCAACCAAGAAGGAATGATAAAGAAAAACGTATCAACTGGGGTCAAATTTCATTGAGCTATAAACAAAATTATGACCATCTGAGGCAAAGTGAGGAATGTCCCCCAAAACCTTGATCTAAGTAACTGACGCCTGGAGTCGGATACTAAAAAAATCATGTCAAAATCAATATTGGTCGTTTTGTATATTTGAGTAGCCAAGGTAGCCAAGATTCACGCTTTGCAGTTTTGTTGGGGAAAAAATACCCCCAAAAGTGGGAACAAAACTGCAGAATGTTTTTCACTGCCGTTGGCGGTGCAATGCGTGTCTTTTATTTTTTTCAAAGACATTTTTCTCGAAATGACATTGGCAAAGTTTGCCGGGAAACTGCTGAAGTTCCTGTGGCATACGTTTATCTTCGGAATACTTTAAGCTACAGAAATATATTGGTATCATTGGAAAGCCAACATAACTTGAAAAGTCAAGGGTGGGGTTATTCCTCACTACGCCATGGCAGGTCACAGGTAACGTTCTGTAAATTACTAAGAGAAACGGGAAGACTCAAGAAAGTTCTGATTGATAGATTCTGGTCTCCCTCTCCTAAACATGTTTGTTTGTCTGTTTGTTTTTCCCTACATTTTCCATATCCCACTGCTCCCCAGCCATTCCTCTTTTATTACTTAATTTTTCACTTCGTAAATTTAGATTATTTAGTGCAATCCAGATTACATCTGTTAAATTCTTCCATGTGGTTGAATCCTCAAAAATTGAAGAAATATAAGAGTATAGTCTTATAATCTACATGATGTGGCTCTTTCTTTGCTTAATTACGTATGTGTCCTATAATTTTTTGTAATTTATGGAAAAGTCCATTTTTGGAGGTAATTTATGGAAAAAAATGTGTACATGTACAATTGTTGAGGAGATGTTCTGAAGTCAGTTGGGAATTATGTTGCCAGCCGAGGGCAGCAAACATTGCACCATCTGACGAAAAGTGTAAATCTGACCGAAACCTCTTGAGGTTTGACTAATTAAACAAAAACAAAGCTTGTTAACATTTGCAGTAACTCTTGTACATATTTAAATTTGTAGAATTATTTAATAACCTTTTCTTTTAAGTTAAAGACTGTTTACCAAAGACCAAAGTGTGGATTTTTGTTGTGTGAAATTTCCCCTTGTAAGCATGAAATGTGGCCCAGGAAATTTGATAAAAACTTTCAGCAGGTGAGAAAGTCAGAAGCATTTATGGAGCTGGGCAATTAGGCGGTTACCCAATCTCACACAGGGTATTAACTTGTTCAGTTTCGATTGCTGAGCAGTTTGCCTTCCTTGATGGTTAAAAGTAATATACTACATTTACTTTTGCTGTAATTCTCCGAAATGGATGGATTTTTTTTTTGGGGGGGGGGGAGTATTTTATAGCAAATACTGTTAAACTGACCTGTTTCGTCGATGCTGGAAAACCAAGAAAAAAATGTTCTTGTAGTCTGGTTCCTCGGCCCTACTTCACAGGAGACAGGGAAATTTATAGACGTCGTAGAATTGTCACGCCAGGGAACCAGACTAGCTGGCTTACTCCCGTTCATGGATGTGTAACCAATGGCAAATAAAACTAAATTTGGAAAATTAGGGGCAGTATTTGTAAATGTCAGTTTTTCCAACGATGGTCGGCTGACCATCGTTGGAAATTGATACAAAATATTCACTTTTTTTTAAAAATAACAGCACGCCTGGTGCGATGGTTTCACAGGATGTCTGAGACTGTCATTCCTTTCAGTCAAGTAAGGCACTTCATAATAATTTGGTAGTTTTTTTTTTCTTGATGTTTGCAAATGTTGTATATTACCTTTAAATTTACTGGTAATACCGGATATTTCTGTATATACTTATAAATAATCTGTGCAAACTGTGTTCATGTGTAAAAAGCAAGTGGTAAAATGTGTCAACGGAAGAAAAACCAATGAAGTAGGCCATTTCAAAAGAAAATATACAACTCACAAACACAACCTCTCCTTTGTGTTGTCAAATAAATATGCAACATTTGTATAAGCATTCATGAATAATAGCACCTTGAAAAAGAGGCAAAACTTATAAAAAGTAATATTCTCATGTCTTGCTTTTTCCCTTGAATATTAAGATGCATAATTTCGACCCTTTGAAATTGAATGCTTAGTTGTAAATATTCGGACGCCATGTATATGTATTTTATTTATATGTTTAATCAATATAAACTGTTAATATAGAAACAGAACGACGGCCAAGATACGTAGAAGCAGCCACACAAAGTAACAGTGTAAACAAATGTTAGAAAGCATTGTTAGGAACGTTGTCGCTGGAAAGATTATGTATTCGCAGTGTGTTTGTCAACAGTAGTGTGTATATTTATGTAGGTCGGAACAAGAACGGAGTGTGGCAGTTCTGTAAGCGTTTTCGGATGTGTATTTATGTTCTTGTACATGTGTTATAACAAAAATATGTCAATGCAATAAAACGATGTAAACTGCAAAAACAAAGTGTTGTTTGGAATATGTAAGATAGCTGTGATTGTCTTTTGTTTGTTGGCAGGGAAAATAAGTGATTACTTTGTTTTTCTTGTTTGTTTTAGAAAATTGTGTTGATCAGTGATGAATAATCAGTAGTTGCAATTAATTATGATTAGAAATAAGGAGAAATGGCAGATATAAATGTTGATGATTCAGGATGTTAAATCTATACTATATATTTCATTGGGGTTGTGCTGGGCACTTGTATTAAGTTACCGAGTTGGACCCCGACCCCCCCCCACCCCCACCCCACCCACCCCACCCACCCAACTTGTGCAAATTAGGGTAAGCCTCCCCCCCCCCCCCCCTCTCGTCTCCACCCCACCCTTCACATTGCTTAATCTTCCCAATGAAAGGCACACCACATTACACCATAAAGGAAGGAACTCCAAACTTTTCAAAGTATTTGTTTAGCTGGATAAAAAAGGAGCCCAGATATATTCCCTGGTCTGTTGCATAACTATAGCAGTATATATTTTGGGGGTTCCCCTTTCTCTAAATTATATTTCCTAGCAGAACACTATTCAATCTTGGTTTGCTCTTTTTATAAACATATATTGAATCATGTTTTAAACAAGACTTATTGGTGTCAATTTATGAGTAATGTTTTTAGTTATGCAAATTACTGATTATCACTGTGAGTTTGTGTGTCTGCAGGTTGGACAGAAGATAACTGTTTACACCTGGCTGCAAAAAGAAACGTTTTGGCTTTCTTATGCAAATTTCCAGTCTGCCTATATGCAGATTAGAAGCTTGTTGCTGATGCCTGGTCACATGGCTCTATTGCATCTTGGGAAGAACAAAATGGAGTGTTGTGTCACTGATGAAGTTTTGTTTCAAAGATTTGACACAAGCAGAATGTGAAACCATACTTTGGACAACAATATAGCTAGATAGATATAGGTGAGTTGAGGCTCTTTTTTGAGTTTTTAAAATGTCAAAAAAAGAGGAAATTTCTGTTTGTTTTCGGATCGATTTTGTTTAAAGTTACAGCAATGTTTGAAAGTATTTGGCTTGACTTCTTGTATCAGGTGTATGAAGGTTCTGTTGTGAACAAAATTTCAATATACATTTGAAAGCTTTGGATCTTTGCTAAATAGAAATGTTCACAACCGAATGGAAAGAATGTAGCACCTAGACACCACTTCTCCACAAAGTCTAAGGAGAGTCGAGTCCATTTTCACAGTAGCAAAATTGGAAATGTTTCTCAGTCCCAGATTCACATCTTTTCAACATTTTGCAATGGCTGACCCCTCATTGAGATAAGATAATGATGAAAAAAGTGGCGTCAGATTGCAACATTCTTTCCCTTGAGAAAAATGTGTTAAGTTTCAATTTTTTTGTTTAGGTCAAGAAATCTCGCACAAGTCATGGGTGATTGCTTGAGCAACCGGCTTGTTGTGTTGGGCGTGGCTCTGTTTGCTGCCCTCTACCTGTTAGCTGGGGCCATGATGGCGGCGGTGGGCCTTGTTGCATTTCTTAAAATGCCTGTCTTGTTCAGCACAGGATGCATCATCTGGGTTGGCTTTGTGGTAAGTTCAATTTGGACCTAATTGATTTGAAATTTCCATCGTAGTCATACAATACATGGACTGTCCATGGGCACTTTGATAATAATGGTTAGGAATCTACCCATAATGCTTTGCATTTCCTTCTTTAATTTGGCTACTATAGTGGCCTCAATTTGGGACTCTCAATACTGTGTATAAAGAGTCCCAATACTTAAGGTATTGAAACATGCAACACAAGAAAATAGACTGGCACATAAAACAATCAGTTCAATACTGCATCAATCAACTGTGTCAAAAGAAACATGGTTCCCAGTCTCTATTCTACACAACTCTCCATAGTCGTGCCACCAGACTACTTAAGGGTCAGGTCAATCTTTTTAAACAGCTGGACATTTACCAGTCTAGTCTTAGGCTTCAAATTGATATCACTTGGCCTAACTCTCAGGTGAAAAATGTTGAAGAAAAGTCTTCATTAAAAATTGAATTTAGACCTCAAATTTGGTGGTGAGATACTGACGACCTTGTCTTTCTTTGCCTCATGAAAATTTTGCAGAAGTTTATCCACAAAAGCGTGAGTAAAGTTGACCTGGTTTTGTTTTGCATTTTGTCTGCACTCTGAGGTCCCAGTCTGAGGTCCCAGTCTGAGCAATGATTATCAAGCAAAATATCTTGCCTTGTTGCATAACTTTCTTTAAAATCCAAACTCCCCAAAGCTCTCGAAGAGGACACTGATATTTGTTATCTTTTTGTCATTTTTGTTCCTTAGGTTTTCCTGTGCGGTGCAGTGTTATTTTTGATGTCTGTCTGTAACAAGGAGGTTTCCTTGCACAAGGTAAGGTTTATTTGGACTCCAGATTAATTCAAATCACTGAAAACTGTTTCCTTAAGTTTTGATATTTCATTTTTCTAGAGTTCTAAAACTCTTGGAAAAAACACACCAGTTTAGTAAGGGAAGCCTTCAATGTAACATTTTAATAGCACAGGCTGACAAATTTATGGGAATGAACACATCAGTTAGCAGAGAAAATTTGAGCCATTCCAAATCCATCAGGAGTAAATATAGCTACACAATTAGCATCTCAACTTTTGGAAATCTAACAGCTTCTGAAGACTACTCATTATACAACACTTTGATTATTTAGGACCATAATTTTGTATCGTTGCAGAGCTATCTGATGATCCTCCTATGTCTTACTGTACTGCTGGTCAGCATTGCCAACATTGTCCTCATTGAGACGATAGAGTGGAATGGAGTACGGGTAGAGAAGGTATCCCAAGACATAGACGAGACTATGATGGAGGCCAGCAACAGCCTCACCATCTTCTTGAGTGAGTAACACACTGGACACCCCCCCCCCCCCTCCATTTGCCTCTCTGCAACTCCCCTTTCTCAACATCAAGTCAGGAGTCAGGTTGACACGGCACAGCGGTTCTTTCCTCGCCTTCCACTGCTGGGCCTGGGTTCACTTCCTGCCCTGGTCCACATGTGGATTGGGTTTTCAGTCCCTACCTGATTCTGTGGGGTTTCCCCAGAATATTCTGTGGGCTTTTTCTCCCACCTCTAAAACTGCAATTTCTTCTAATTGTCTTCTTTCAGGTTTCTTGAGGCTTGCAAGCTTCAGTGCCTAGGGCACTTTTAAAGAATCCTTGTTTTCATTGCTAGAAAGAAAATTAATTAAACTAAATAAAAAATGAGAAGGCTTTTTGCCTCTTTGAGATTTCAAATTTTGAGGTGGAAATTACAACATTGAATTTGTGTTAAATTTTAAGATCCTCAAAGTTTTTGGTTATGTCTCGCTCTCTACCTTCAACATCCTCTATCAGCTCTCCTTAAAATAGTTGTCTTAGAAAATCAGGAAAATATTTGTAGCTCTGGTAATTCATACCCAAATACAAGTTGCTGTTATGAAAAAAAGTGGTTTTTAATATTTTTCAAAATTCATTCAATGTTTCAATGAATATCCTTTAATCCAGTCATATCAAACATTTCTCAGCTGCCATTTCCCTCAAGATTTGCTGAAGTTTCTTGAAGAAATATTTTCTTTAAACAAATCTGTCTTGTTCTCCCTGCAGCCTATCTGCTAGGACTCCTAGGCAGCGTCATTGGTCTAGTTGCATCATTCTTTGGGATGATATACATCTACTTTACACTGAGCGTCCCGCTTCTTAAAGCTACGCAGAAGAGCAAACCACAGCACGAGGTCAAGATGAAAAGAAGCCTGTGTGACAAGTACAGAAACAAACCTCCACGCAAATTCAATTTCAAGGTAAAAGAAAAGAAACACTTAAATTGGGTTCTACTGAAACTTTTCGTCACATTCTGACATGTGTTTAAAATTGTTTTAAAAACATTTTTTTTGGTTCCTCCCCCCAGCTTACTCCTCCCCCAGATAGTAAGGTACAAGCAACAACCAGGTGGCATGATGATGACGCTGATCTGTACCACGTCCGATGGGTGTACGATGAACAGAGTCCGGGACCAAGACCAAATGAGGATGAGACGCCAGCTGGTGGATCAGGGGAACAACGGGCTGCTGACAACAAGGTATGTACTGAGTGGTAAAAATGAACAGGTGGGCGGGTCATCTTAAGTATTGGGGGGGGGAGGGTGTGCAAAACATTTGTCTCAGCAAGAAGCAATCCCAATTAAGCTGGTCTGAGGATTCCAAGAATTCTATTCAATTGATTCTGAATGACTATTCACTGGAAGTCTTTTCATATATCCCTTCTACACTCTGGACAGAATGAGCACATTCATTGCCATTACGGGTAATCCTATATGACAGCACTGCCCGGCTCTCTCCACCAGCAAACAACGAGTCGAACTCGCAAGTGGCAGTCAGTCAGTCAGATTGTACCAAGAAAACACTGGGGTGGCTCTCTGTGATTAGCCCAAAAAATTAAACCCAAAAAAATCCTTCTTTCCCCCCTTTTTGACAGGCACTGATGGATGAAATCAAGGAGAAAGTTGGTTCCCGTCGCCTTCCCAGCACATCACTGGATGTCACTGCACAGATGAATACCAGCATGACCACCCAACCAGATGGAACGAGTCAAGGCTCCTTATCAGAAGACCTGGTTCTCGGTAGAATAGGCCAGCTGCCGCCGAATGCTAGAAGTAGTTTCCGTAGACATTCAAACGAAGAATCAGACAAAAAGGTTGCAGCAACACAGTTGTAGTTTATCATTTATGTTTTTGTGCGTGTGTACAAGACTTTGTATATAAACATTGGTATGAAGTGGAACTATTTATATTGATACAGTTACTTTTTGAGGTTCCATTCTCCGAAAGTAAAAGAAAGCTCTTCAGGATTTATAAAAAGATATCGCTGTATTTTTTGAAAGCAAAATAGAAAGATATCTGTACAAGTAAATTGAACTTTTTGAATCCAATGTATGCTGCATGATCAATGGAAAGATGAGCTATTGTCAACAGAACAGAAATGCTAACGTGTTGGGGAAACTGACCTGCCAGTCACTGAGCATCAAAAAAAGGCAAAAAAAAAAAAAAAAAAAAAAAAAGGAAAAGTTGTATATTTCTTGATACTTCATTTGACCAGTTTGCAGTCAACTTGTATTTCACATTCAATCACTGTATGTGTGTCTAGAAACATTTTTGTTTAATTCCAGTTCTGTATAGCTAGCAAAAGAATGCATAACCAACTGAATGGAAAACAAATCCCAACTGTTTTCAAGAAAATGTAACTAAGAAAACAGACTCTAGAAGTGGGTTTGATCTTGTCTTTGTTCAATAATTTTCACTGATGAAGAAGTTAAAATGATTAGATTTGTTTCGACAAGCATAGCATTTAAAATTGAAGCTTGTGTGTAATACTTGTATTTTTGTTAAATAGAAGAGTTGTAAGATGCTATGGAACATTTTTCATTTTCCGGTCTGATTTATTTTGTGGCGCCCCAATATAGTTTATTCATTTATATTTCTTCTGATGGGTATGTAAGTTTATTAATAATAAGGCAAATGTCCTGAAACTTAAAGCAATTTGATAATCATTTTTTTTCATCCTTAATTATTTTATAATCCAAATTAAATTGATGCAAACTTTTTAATACATGCGATCGAGGCACAATCAAGTTTTTTTATTTAGCCATCATGAGAAAGCATTATTTTGGGGCCAGATATACATTTTTGGACTTCTGGGCCGATAAATAACATAAAACGCATGCCTGGGGTCACACTATTTAGGTGAAACAACAACACGTGGTCTGTCCAAAATTTCAATTCACGCGGGCGGCGTCTTTATTTTGTAAACATTAATTATTACCTCCTTTTCATGTTGTCAAGCAGTACGCTCCCAAAACTACCTGCTCTCTAATAAAAATTCATGACGGCAAGCTTAAGCCTCGTTTCCATGGTATGGAGCAGAACGCTTCCACCCTTCCAAGCTCCATTATTAGAAACATCCCTGGGGACGATAAGTATGCGGTGTTTTAGTGCAAAATCCACTGTCAAGAGAGGGCGCTAGATCGTTCCCATTGTTCTAGAACAGAATTCGCCCTAAACTTCCATTGCCCCTAGAGGTACATACCACCGCTGCGGGCGACCGTAATTGTCGCCCCCAGAGGTACATACCGCTGCGGGCGACCGTATGTCGCCCCTAGAGGTACATATACCGCTGCGGGCGACCGTATGTCGCCCCCAGAGGTACATACCGCTGAGGGCGCCCGTTATTGTCGCCCCCAGAGGGGCGCTGCGGGCGACCGTTATGTCGCCCCTAGAGGTACATATATTGCTGCGGGCGACCGTATGTCGCCCCCAGAGGTACATACCGCTGAGGGCGGCCGTTATTGTCGCCCCCAGAGGTACATACCGCTGGGGGCGACAATTATTGGTCGCCCGTAGCGGAAGTTCTATCCTCTAGGGGCGACAACAGTCGCCCGTAGCGGTACGTACCGCTGAGGGCGCTCAACAACAGTCGCCCATAGCGATACCTCTGGGGGCGACCAACAACAGTCGCCCGTAGCGGTATAGAGAAACGCGCATACCTCTAGGGGCGACAATATGGTCGCCCCCAGAGGTACGCACCGCTGGGGGCGACAATTATTGGTCGCCCGTAGCGGAAGTTCTATCCTCTAGGGGCGACAACACTCGCCCGTAGCGGTACGTACCGCTGAGGGCGCTCAACAACAGTCGCCCGTAGCGGTATATATACCTCTGGGGGCGACCAACAACAGTCGCCCGTAGCGGTATAGAGAAACGCGCATACCTCTAGGGGCGACAATATGGTCGCCCTCAGAGGTACGTACCGCTGGGGGCGACAATTATATTGGTCGCCCGTAGCGGAAGTTCTATCCTCTAGGGGCGACAACAGTCGCCCGTAGCGGTACGTACCGCTGAGGGCGCTCAACAACAGTCGCCCGTAGCGGTATATATACCTCTGGGGTACATACCGCTGCGGGCGACCATTATTGTCGCCCCTAGAGGTATACATACTGCTGCTACGGGCGACATGTTATTGGGGGGGGGGTGCAAACCGTATTAACCCTTATTTTCACAACACACAACACAAGTATATATTACTGAGGCAGAATTTATTCACATTCACACAGAAAAACAAACGATGAATGCAATGATAATATACATGTACATGTATTCATTATTCCCCTAGAACACTGACAAAAATTAAACTTAAGAACAGTCATCTATAAATACATTTACTACTTCCCTATCTATTAGTTCATGCAACTTTCACTTAATTAATGAGGGATAAAAACAACAGAACAATCTTTTGTTTTGGTGTATCTGTTTAAATGAATACTTTTTGATAACTATGAAGGTTGAACCAATGGCATATGGACGTTCTGTAGTCTTTCTCGGTCTTCAACTAATAATACAATAAAAGAACATCTAATCCCCATATTTTGTTTGTTCTTACTTGACAACAATACTGAGGCATTAATAACTTACAGCAATGATACAAAATATCTATTTAAAATAACTACATGCATTAGAGCAATGTTACAAAATATCTAATATTTAAAATAACTTCATCAAATTATTATTCCTCCAAAATTATTGAACACCGAAATATATACGGGTTCACATGTCTCAATACAATGCTTCCTTATCTATTATTCCATGCGACTTTTACTTAACTAATGACAGATAAAAACAAGACAACAATTTTCGTTTAAATAAATACAATATTAAATGAATACATGGGTATGAGGTTTTTAACCGATTGCATATGCATGTTCTGTAGTCTTTCTCGATCTCCTATTAAATAATACATTACAAAATATCTAATAATCCCCATAATTTGTTGGGTCGTATTCCACAACAATACTGAGGCCTTAATAACTTAGAGCAATGACTCAAACTATCTATAAAAAATAACAATGTCCAATTATTATTTCTCGTTAAATGTCTTTTTTAATTGCAAACCAATAAAATAAGTTGTAATCACTGTTTAATTTATTACATTTAAGTTTTAGTTATGATATTTACTCTTTTTCGTTGCTTAAGGAGGAATTTTTAGCATCAAAACAAAATATTTAAAGGTATTTTTGACTTAAATTTTGTTAAGTCAAAACATGTGCGGGATTCGAACCCGTGCCCGGGCGCTCCAAAGGCTACGCCTTTGGAGCGCCCGGGCACGGGTTCGAATCCCGCTACGTGGCTGAGACCGCTAGGCCATCTGACTAAGAGGTTTAACAACAGTAATAAGTAGATTATCTCGATTTCCAAGGCAAGGCGGTGGAAAAAGCGTAGGAGGGTACCTGGACGGTTGAAAATGGGTGTTGGGAAGCGTTATATTAGACATTTTTGAAAAACGGACAAAAATAGGGGGATTTGGACTTAAAATATTTATAATTAAGTTGTTTTTGACGTGTTCTGGGATATCGAAATTGAATAGAAAGAGGAAATTCTGACCAGGGCTTAATGTCTTTTAAGTTATTGCAATTTGAAATGAATCATAATTTGTTGAGTTCATAATTTGTTGCGTTTAATTTTTCCGGCTATTTTGGTTAAATGCAACAATTTACTACTAGTGCTGAGAAAACGTCATCTTCTACAGCGGTGAAATATTACAGATACTTGTTCATTTTTGTTTGCATGATCAAAACAACTTTTCGTAAATCTCTTTATTCGAACCGAACTTTGTTAACAGTGGATCGGTAGGCTTGTATTATCGTATGGCTTTAATCTTCGGTGAATATTTATGTCACTATAGCTAGCCTTTACCGACTCCAAACGTATTATTCTATGAGTGTTTTAATGACATTATATAACAATTTTAAAAAAAGAGGGGGGGGTATCATTTTTGTGGAGATGAAAGTCTGTTTTCCTCCTTTATATAAAAAAAAAAAAAAAAAAAATTCCTTAATAATCGATGGGCGTTATACATTTTCTCGATCTCTTAAAAAATAATCAGCGAATCAATGCTGAAAATGTAGGCAGGTTTTTTGTCCAAACACTTTGCTCCGTAAAATAAAGGGGGGGGGGGGGCCCTCGTAAAATACTTTTAATGGGGGCGCTGTTTTGCAATTACTTTCAAGGCGGGGGGGGGGGGGGGGAGTCCTGCAATTTCTGTCAATGGGGGCGCTGTTCAAATGTGATTAATATAGTGTACATTGTTACCCCCCCCCCCCCCCCCCCCCCCCAATAACCTAACAGGCTGAGTCAGTATTTTGTGCACAGGCGTATATTATATCAGTATACATGTTATTGTTTTTAGGTGTAAGAGCAGGGGCCGGGGTAGCATTATTTTTTAAGTGAATTTTGATTAAAAAAAAACCACTCATTTTTGGTAGAGCTGGGTGGGTGGGTGGGGAGAGGGGGGGGGGTTGATCCCAATTCCTTTGGATCTGGGTTCAACAATGCCATATTATGAATTTTATCAGAAGTACTCCAGAGTGATTTCCCAAACATTATCTCCCTCCTATTGACCAAGATACCGTCCTTTTGAAACACTAGACACAAAAACTTGAAGGGCCCCTGAAGTGCGTCAGACTTTTTGCTGATGACTGCATTTTGTATCGGGAAATAAAGTCTCCTGAGGACTCTCAAATCCTGCAAAAGGACATCGACCACCTATGTACTTGGGAATCTATTTGGCAGATGGGTTTTAATCGGTCCAAATGCTTCTCCATGCGAGTGACACATAAACGGAAACCAACCTCCAACCAGTACACGATGGGTGATGATATACTTAGCGAAGTCGATCATCACACATACTTGGGAGTTGAACTTACTTCTGATATGACTTGGAATCGACACATAAACCAAATTGCTGTCATAGCAAACAGAACCCTTGGTCTACTCAAAAGAACATTATCCAGCTGTGATAAACACACCAAAGAAATAGCATATAAGGCACTCGTTCGACCACTTCTGGAATATTGTCAAGTCATATGGGACCCCCACCAATCGAATACCATCAGCGTGCTTGAAAAAGTTCAGAGACGTGCAGCCAGGTTCGTCCTGAGGGACTACAGTTACTCATCGAGCGTCACTGCAATGCTCAAAGAGCTAGGCTGGGACCCCTTGGAAGAAAGACGCAACAGAGCTCGACTATGCACCATCTTCAAAGAAATTCACGGTATAATTCCAAGTAATATCTCCCACCTGCAAATTCATCTACCCAGTAACCAGCCAACCACCAGACGTACTACCAGACAATCCAATAGCAATTTAAATCTTCAGCGCATCCAGTCAAACAAAAACAACTATCTTCACTCGTTATACCCATGGACAGTCCCCGAATGGAACCTCCTACCTGACGCTACTAAAAACCAACCCACACTGAACGCCTTCAAAACCCAACTAGACAAGATAAATATCGGCCAACTCTCCACCCATGCGCACTTCAAAATTTAGTCATCAACCAGCACCATGACAGCGTTACCTGCACGTGATAGC